CTACGAAGCGATAACTTCTCAAAATATTCTATATGAATTGATCATGTTATCACTTTGATATTCTCAAGCGCTAAACTATGTAGCGCCTTTCTATCAAATACACTGGAACATTTGTTGCCTTCAAATTATGATCTGATCACTTCTTTCATGGCATACTGTAGCTCAGATACTGTAACTAAATTTCGTACTTCGTTATACTCATTAAAGTTTCTGTAATCTTGCTAAACATTATTCCTTTATTGGTAGTTGGCCCATCATTCATTATCTCAAATGATTTTCGTACCCTACCTTTTAAAAGATCGGTTTTTAATAGAACTTAACATGGATCTGAACGCTCAGGTTGTTGTTCGAGAAGGGAATTTAGGATTCAACGTACGCTATGGATCGAATCCTTGATATGTAGTCCGTTTGGCGGAGCCGACCACACACAGTGCATTTTCGGAACGGATGACTAATTCTAAGTAAGAATTTATATATGAATCCAGAGGTAAGTGCAGAATTTCCATCAGTTCGGAGGTGCATATGTTGAACGAAGCCTCTTCTGATTGAGGTAGAGCTATTCACGAAAGTGACGGGGAATGAGGGCCTCCCCCGCCCCCCCCCCCCGCCAAATTGACTATCCACCTTGACTCAACGTCTTAGTGTGTGTCCCTCAGCATCTTTTTTGAATATTTTTTTTTCAAAATCATCAATACCAATTCAATTATTTCGTCACTGGTAATGGAAAGCGCTGTTTCTTGTTAGTGTTTCGATTTCAAAGGTGGACATCTTTGAAACTTGAGGGATTGCAAATAAACCGGTCTTTTCCATGTGAAGATTTGAGGCGCATGCGCGACACGCTGTCATTAGTGTGTTCGAATGGGCGAGGTTGCAGTCTCTTGAGGCACAACGTTCGTGCAGATTCTGTGTCTGCGTATCGCTTGCCGCAATACTTTCTCGTCCGTGCTATATTGATGTGATGAATATTTATACTATACAGATATGGTATGAGTGAAGGGCATCAATCGGTGCCTGCTCTCGTTTGGCCTGTCACTGTTTCCAAGATGGCAGCCGTCGCTCCGCAAAGGCAGTAATCATGAGGGCTGGAAGGCGGCGCTTCGAGCCACAAATACTCGCTTCCCTTTGCATATTTGATCCGCGTTTTGATTTCCAAAGTATGTACGTGGGAACAGCTCTCCTGCCAGAACACCAATTTTTCCCATACAAAAGAGCTAAAATTGAAGGAGCCATTCCCAAGGCATCGTTATTCTGGAACAGAGTAGTTGGTTGAACCAAATAACAACTAGAGGAATATGCGCCGCAACACTGCAGTGGTTTTAGGATCCGCCGAATCCGGCTCTGCAGTGCTGTGGTTGGTTTTTTCTATCAAATAAATATTTTGTTGACCCAAAAATGTTCCATCTACATCCCCAACATCTTAAAAGGTGGGGCCTAGGATCGTCATTAAATAACAGATCTTTCTGAGATACACGAGAAATCTTCCATGAATCGTTAAATTCCGCTTCCTCATGGATGTAATGAAAGATGCAGACACTGATAGGACCATTAACGCGACCACTGATGCTTTATGAAACTTCTGGAAACTGCCAGCTTTTTGGAAGTCGTAAGCGACCTGTACACTGCGCTAATCCTCTTTTATCAATGGAAATAGGGTTACTTGTGCAAAGTGTAGCGAACTATGACCAAGGATAGATTATAGTTTTTTCAATGCACATTTTGGCCCATGGACGTCACTGTCCCAAACACTTCAAATTGCTGAGAAGAACATGGGTTTCATAAGGACACTGAAGCTTGGAGGGTGGATTTTGCTCTACGACACTGATTCCTGTTCAAGACCCAGAATACAATCCTAGCTCAAAAGAGAAAATTGCCTTCTCATCGTAAACTTACCATCACTGCAGCGTCTTGTGAACGTAGCGGACGATCGCTGTCTGTCCTTTGAGTTTGTGGAGGACCGCTTGATTATGCCACCTGGAGTTCTTCCTATTATGTCCGCTGCCAAATTGTTGTTCGAACCCCGCACTGAAACATATTTAAATTTATGAAACCTTCTAGCAGGACTACTGTAAATTAGCGCTGTATACACTTAGGTTCAAGATAAAAGCAAAAGAAATTCAAGGTACTCATGAAAACCAGGGCAAGAGGTATGGCGGAAGGTATTACACCATAATTTATGTAGAGGAAGAAGAAATCAAAACCAGGAAAGTGTAATAATCAACAACTCACAACCCAGCCCTTTCCTCAGTGCTGATGAAACTTTCTTCTGAATACTCGAAGAGCTAGCCGACGATCTACGCAAACTTCTGGTACCCGATGGTGTGCTATCTTCACCAGTTAGTGGCGTTCCTGCGTGACACACATGATGAATACATTGTTACAGCAAAAAAAAAGCAAAAAATACGCTGGTCTGAAACTTTGATGGAAATTTGGTTTCAATGAAAAGAACACTTACCTAACGCAGTGGTACCAAGGGGTGTAGTTGTAGCATCACCACGCTTTCGCGAACCAAATATCCTCGATTTGGAGCGGAGCCATATAAGACTCTGCAAACGTAAATTAATTTCGGAAAGTACTCATGTGCAACTCAAAAAAAAACGATTTTGACTCACACTTCTTCGGCCAGAGCCTTCAACATCACAGACGGGAGTTCTATTTTCCTCAACACCTTCCTCACACGTAGCAAGAGGAGCAACCTAACCATGACTATTTGGATACACTAAGTAAAAACGATACACTGAACATGATAAAAAAAAATTTAACCTCTTCTTCAGGCAGTTCTGCCATGCTGGCACTCAGCAGTAGCTTTTCTCGTAGTCGCATAGATCGCGATCGATCAAAACGTTGTGGACTGGCAAGGCTATCTGAGACCGAGGAAAACGTTCGTCGTATGGCACTAAATCAGTTTCAGTCGAAAGAAGACTGAGGGAGAGGGAAGAACATTACAACTGACAGATGAACGTTATTCAATGACTGCTCTCCAAATGATTAGTGCAGTGATCAGCAGCGAAGAAATTACCTATTACACAGTCCACGGATCAGATCAGACTCCGGTGGCATGCTTCGTGCGCTTCCACGATGAGATGTTCCTCTTCCAAACTCCCGAGCCGGAGTACACAATGAAGCCGCGCTCACCGAATAAGGCATTTCGTCTTCTGACGAGCATGATTCGGATGAGAACTAAAAGTAGCACTTTCACAATGGTCTCATTACCGAATGTTGAGGCAGAGTGATTTGTAGAGGATCGGTGAAATGACCAGAACAGAATAATTTTGAATTTTAGTATACCATATGCACGTTCGAAAATTGGCTTGCCAAAAGGCGAAAACGAGAAGCAAAGCGGATGCAAAAAAAAACACAAAAACGGAAGCAATCCGTATAAAGATCAACAATGCACATAGATAACAGAAACAGCTGACTGAATGATCAAATACTATTCTTCAACCTTAGAAATGAAATCTATCTAAAAAATCACTGATATCCCTTCTTCAAAACTCTGGTTACTCTGACTCGTTGCCTGAAGTGTTTGCCACCAACTTTACGAGTTCTTTATTGCGTTGAATAGATTTGGAAAGAGCACAACTCTCACCAGATAGAACACTCTAAAATTCATAATTCGCATGACCAAATAATTGGTAGACAAGATATAGAGAGGATGAAACTCTCAGTGATGAAAAGACACCAAGAATTATCCGAAGATTTCGAGCTACGTATCGAACTTTCTTCTGGCATAGGGTCCATCAACACACTTAGTGGTGGCTCTCTAAAAACAGGCATCCTGCTGGTGCTCGCCGACGCCATTGTCATTGTCAAGTCACGATTATTGCGCTCCTTAAGTTGAAATCGTAATAAGTGAAGAAAAGGACTAAAACAACTTTCTAAAAAAATGGTTCAAGGCTCTGCGCCAAAAGTTGAAAGCTTATGACATACCTTGAGCGCAGATGAACT